AACCTCATAATGTCAGACTGTCCCATCATTCTTCCAGTGATGTAAGCAGGAGGCCTTTAGTCTAAATGCAATTCACCCTCTTTCCCCTTCCCTCCATCCATTGCCCCCCATTTTCCTTCCCCCGCTTTTACCCTTCCCCACTCCTTTGCCCTTCTCAACCTCCCCTTTTCCACTCCTCCTACCTGTTTCCTTTCTCTTTCTAATGTAGAGAGTGGCCATTTTTTCTGTTGTTTTTTTAAAATCTGTTTTTATTAAATCTTTGTAGAAGTCATCAACAAAAGAATGCATGGACAGCACAGTAGCATGACATTATAAAGTGCATTAAGTATTATATCTCAGAACCACCTCCCTGTCCATAACATGTATTCTACAACATTTTTTTAAAGGAAACACATTAAAACATAGTCTAAAAAGATAAATACTGTGGAACTTTTATATATATATATATATATAATATATATATCCTGTTTCCCCGAAAATAAGACCCACCCCGAAATTAAGACCTAGTACAATTTTTGGGAATTGATAAACTATAAGGCCTAAACTAAAGTAAGAAAGAAAAAAAAGACCTACCCCAAAAATAAGACCTAGTTGTGACCATTCCCAGGGCCGGTGCTGGCATAAGGGGGAACTTGAAGAGCCGCGGGAGAGAATCATTGGTGCCAGCGCTAGAGGAAGCGAGGCGGCAGCGGAGGGAGCAGAGCTGCATAAGCTGATGCTTCCTCTATAGCGCCGGCTCCTGTCACAGGCGGAGTGATACCAAATGCACTCCGCATGTGAGGAATCGATAGTGAAAGTGCGCTTCGCTCATTCTGGTTACCAAATTGCTCTTGGAAAGGTACGGCACCAATGTTCCAATACCACTTTTTTAAGACCAAGTACTTTCCCTCAGGTACTCACTGATAACAATTACCGATACTTTTTCTTAAAGGGACATGTGATATTTTTTTCTATAACAATAAAGACTAATGATTTTAGGGCAGTTTCTCACCAGGGCTGCATGCCAGTCTCTCCACATCTCTGAGGGCAGGTGCTGAACTGAAAGGGGTGCAGACAAGTAACATAACAACGGCACTGGGGCTGTATGTGCGGTGTAAGGCTGTCCAGTGCTGTGCCTGCGCCAGGAAGGAGGAGATGTGGGACTGGGCGGCACTGTCAAAGACGGCTACTGCCAGGTCGCCAGCAGGCTGCCTAAGGTTCCCCCAAGCGCCGGACCTCAGGCAGCCGATCCGGTTTAAAGAGCTGGTATCGGCCTTTAGTATCGGAGCATTTTCACGAGTACAGGTACTCGTGAAAATGCTCGGTATCAGGACACC